CCCTCGCCGAGCCGCGGGGCCGCTAAATAAACCTGGGAGGCCCCAGGCGCGCTGCTGGGACGTTCCAGGCGGGTCAGCTGTCGCGCTCCAGCTCCCGAGGATAAAAGAGCAGCGGGCGTGCTTTTGTGAGCTGGATTAAGGGGCCCTGCAGCTCTGGGGTTTGCACCGTTAAACTGGGCCACGAGGGTTTTGTTCGTGATTGTCCAAGTCCGTTGCTGTTTGGTGGAAGGGAGGGTCAGGACAAGAGGGGCGTGACTTGCTTTTGGCTGGTTCCAGTAGGACCCAAGGCAGCTTGTTAAACTTGGACTAGCTGGAGCCCAGGGACCCCTCGCTTTGGCTATGTCTCTTCNGCTTTTGGCTGGTTCCAGTAGGACCCAAGGCAGCTTGTTAAACTTGGACTAGCTGGAGCCCAGGGACCCCTCGCTTTGGCAGTCAAGCTTCAGTTATAGAACTTTTTAACAATACCATGTTTCCTGATTACTTAAGCAATTCTTAATTACGGTGTAACTTGGCCTTTAGGAACGCTCCTTACCGTAGGGGTTCTTAACCGTGGATGCAAAATAAAATGCCACGTCTCAGTAAATTGTGAGGTGTGTTGCAAGTAGAAAGTTCTTAATTGTGCATATATTTGTGAAGAAGCTACTCTTTGTACAAAAACGTAGGAATCGGCCCGGCTCCAGTGGCTCAGTGGTTGAGCCTCAAGCTATGACCCAGGAGGTCACGTTAGGTTCCTGGTCAGGGCACATGTCCAGGTTGCCAGCTGGATCCCTAGTAGGGAGCATGCAGGAGGCAGCCGATGGATGACTGTCTCGTCATTGATGTTTCTATCTCCCTCTCCCTCTCCCTCTCCCTTCCTCTCTCTGAAATCAATAAAAACATATTTTTTTAAAAAACATAGGAAACATGCACAGTTATTACAATGTCACCCTTGCTCTCCTGGATTCTGACATCCTTTCTGGAGTAGGGGAAACAAGTAGAGCTCCATCAAGACATTTGCATAACAGATTATTTGAGCCAAAGAAAAAAATCCTTACAGCCTAAGATTTTTAAAATTGGCATAATCTCAATTTAAGATTATAAAAGAATTTTTTGGCCATCATGTTTTATGCTCATTTGTACCATGTAATTAACAAAGCTAGGCTTTGACAAATTTAAAAGTAAATTGTGAGTGTTGAAATAATAGCATTGGATGAAAATATTACTAAATATAAATATTTTGTCATATCTCCCATTTTAAAAATCATTATCAAAAGACTATTTTTGTAAAAATAAGGATTAGTAGTACCGTATGATTAACAACTATATGGATTATATATAATTATACTAGAAACTCCTGGTTATCAAAGATCAAGAAAATTACACAGATCTTTGTTGGGTTTAGTAGGGTTTATTATTGCTCCAAAAAGACTGTAACATAATAGATTCAGTCTGCACTGAAACTATGAAAGGTCCTAAGTTGTGTTGGTGGTGTGGTTATTGTTTTCTTTTCTTAAGCCATTGAAAAATTAATTTTATGATCAAATCAAGGAGAACCACATGAGTATATATACATATGCTGCGCTGATGACACGGTAAATTGGTTCCAGGTTTCCTAGAGAGCAAACCAACATAGAACAGGAGTTATAAAATCATTCATTCCCTATGACACCATGTACCAGTCAGGTATCACTACCGAACAAGTTGATCCCAAAACTAAGTGGCAGACCAGGAGTATTGATCACTACCTTCCCAGGTCTTCTGATCAGCTGGAGCAGCTCTCCCTGGAGTGTAGGTGGCTGTCTTCTCCCTGGGCCTTCACGTGGTCTTCCCTCGGTACCTGCCTGTGTCGTAATCTCGTCTTATAAGGACACCAGCTGTAGTACATTAAGTCTCTGGTCATGATGGAGGTTGGGCTTAGTTGCCTGGCTATGCAGGCATGCAGTAGGAGATGAAATTCAAACTGCTTCTTATGCAGACTCTCAGGCAACCCTCTGGGTTTTCAGCTCTGCCTGTCTCCTTCACCTTCTGACATGACCGGTACATCCAATTCCTAAGCTTTTCTGAGAGTCTCTCGAATGAACCTGCTTGTTTTTCCTTCCCATCCCTCTGCAGGCTCTTAGGTTTCTGCTTTCTCCGCTCTGCTAAGTCAGTAGCCACTAAGCTATCTCTGCTCAGCCTTTCAAAATTTGTTGTCATATCTTGTGCATTGTGATCTTTTGTCGGGAAAATTTCCCGAGGTGTACTGGAGGACGGGTGAAGAGACCCCAAAAAAGGCTGACGACCCCAGAATTAAATAGAGCTTATCAACAGAACTTATGGACAGAAGCAGAGTCTTGGGCGGCAGCAAGATAGTAAATCTCCACCCCAGAAAGTAGATGAGGGTTGACATAGATAGTCTCCAGGTGGCTTATACCAAGTGACATG